TTACTGGTTACCTGCTTTTCTTACTTGGACAGATGACACAAATTTCATTGGATTCACTAGCAAGGCCAGTCAACCGGCATATTTACTCTCGAACGCCGCGGACGTCACTGTTCTGTTTACTATGGGATTTCGCGTTCTCCTGTTCGATTTACTTAGCAGTATATTACCCCAGTGCAATAAAGGCGATCGTTTCCGATCGATGTCAGTGTCTCGCAAGCTATGTGCCAGAAGGAGGTTGTATGTTATTTATTGATGAGGATATATATCTTTTTGACACTTTGTCCGTGATTAGAGCTACGTGGAGCTCGATCGACCTAAAGTTAGATGCTAGTTGTAATCCAGAATTAATTATTGTGTCAGTGTCAATAGTTTGCCAAGGTTTTGTTTGCTTTTTTACAATTCAATATTGTAATAGAAATATTTTGCCCATTCCCGCCGTAATCTATCTTTTGTTACGCATTACATTGTTGACCAAACTACCCCGTGAGTTAAGGTGCGGCATATTAGGACACACTCGTTCAGCTTGACTTGTGGTTAATAATCTATTTTATCCATATATATCCATATACTTGATATAATAGGCGTAGTATTTGGAATATAATTGACTGTAAATATTGTGGGTTGTTATTTATGCGCGCTATGTTTCAAATTTTATTGGACAACGCAAGCATAATAGACGTTATATGTATTTCAAATTTAGTATATTTGAATTTTAGGTATTCTATTTTTATTATATTTTATTAATATTGATTTTACCATAATTTTGTAGAATAATGATTAATAATAGAAAATTTCACTGAATCTATACGGTGAATCTTTCTTCCAACGGAATCAGGCTATAACAGGATATATTTTTAACTGAAACTACGTTATAATGATGATGCAATTCGAAGACCCTTCTTACCGTGTACCCTGGAATAGGCGACCACCGACCGCGGTATCGCCCCCGATTCCCATACCTAATAAAACTCCGTTTGCTAAAGTTCCACAAAACGGGTCGATTTCAACATTTCCAAGAAGAGCCAGAAGAGCTTCAATAAAGCTGAGACGGTATGTAATATGCATTGGATACTATATGTGCTTTACAACATCATTATTGATCTAGGTTTCCGAGTAGATTATGTTACGAATTCCGAAATGCAACACTGAGGCACTCGTCTTAAACAACAGGGGTGCATAGGTTGTAAATAGCCAAAGGACGTAAATTCATGCCTTTCATGCTGAGAAGGACATGCGTGTTGCGTGAGGCAGCTATATATGTCTGGTACACTTTTCGCCTGGTTTTCTGTGTATTAGATTCTTTATCTTTTTTTGAATCAATGTAAAAGCATTCATTGTTTCTTACGTAATCAATCAGCATTGTAAATTCATGCATACCCAATTCATTGCTAATTGACCAGAACGAAGTTGCTTTGTGACGTCACATGACAAGTTGATATATTGCATTGTCTGACGTAGGCGCATTTCAAATTTAGAACTTTCCTACTATATTAACCGCTTTGTTTATGTTGCAAAGGTCATCCTTGAGAGTATTTAAGATCGTAATCAGTTTAAGAAAGGACGTATGTGTGGTTTTCCTAACAAGACTTCTCACTGGTACAATAAGATAGACAAACATATTGACGATGTCGTACGTATACGTATTGTACGTAAAACTCATGTTGAAGCAGCTTTTTCAAACCTTGATTCCATACTTTGTATAGGTATAGCCTCTATATCTTGCATTTATGAATTCCCGTATGAAATATTCATTTCATTGTCATTGTTTGGTTGCTTGCCGTTTTTACTCATGATGCCAATGAAAATGTTTGGAGTGAATAATCATACCCACATTGTCAACTTGTGTGTGCTTGGTTTTGTCTCACAAAACCTGCATCAGTCCATAAAAATGGAAATATATTTCATAATCTTATTTTCTAGCTGTATTGAACTCGTGTTTCTTGTATAATTAACTGAACTATTTGTATCGTTACGACTTGAAAACGAAAAAGTTGACCGTGTTTAGGCAAAACCTTGGATAGATTGAGAGGGGCATGTAAACGTATACATCAACTTACAAATCTAAAAATATATATACAGGTTTTTTCTTACGAAACCCATTCATTACAAAAATAGCTACTTAAGGCGTGTTAACGATCTTTTGCGGGCACAGTTCACTCGCTAATTCCGCTATTCCATGCGATATTTACTACCACTGTGTTGTAATATTAAACACAAAACGGGAAACTTCATCAATAGGGGTGCTTCGATACGCTTGAGCTGGGTGGATTTAGACCATGACGTATTGGGTCGGCTTTTTTTTTTACAGTTTATACGGTTCTAATGATGCCATACAGATATGTTCCCTGTGCGGTGAAGGACACAATGCATTTATATAGAGATAGTGTACCTAATATGGAAGGTTAGAAAATTAAAATATAAAACATTTTATACGATGAAGGCTTAATACAGTCAGGAATTTATGACTGAAATTTAACTTGTTTTAAGTGAATTCTATCTCTATCATATGTCTTATATGCATATTCGGTTAGTGAACGTTATATACATATTTAGGATGAGATACATGAAAATGCTAGTTCATTTTCCGCATTATTTACAGTAGAGGAAAGTATAATATGCATTATACCAGGTGGGTAATAAAATCAGTTTGATCAAGTGAGATCGAAATCTAAGCTATACTCAAACAAGGCCCATACCACACCCATATTTCGCCTCGACCACGAATACGCGAAACAACGTTTTAGCCTGCGGAAGTTATCTTAATATACCGTAATCGGTTTATGAAGATGTACGTGGGCCGTGCTGTAGATATGTAATATGCTTCATTGCGGCAGGTAATGCCGTATGAATGGTTTCGTGCGCATTTGCTCTTGCTGTCGGTGACGAGCCTTTTACAATGAACGTATAAAAATTTTCCTTTGTGTTTTTGCACATGTCACTGCTAAAAACGACGTATGTAGGTGCATATTGATTTACATGAGTTTGAAAATTATATTACTTGCGCAAGGTACAGCAATGTGGCTCTTAATATAAGAATGAACTGCTCCATAAATGGACATTTCTCAGATAGCAATGATGGTCAATTTTACGTACATACTGAAAGCAATTACGTCCAAATGATGGTAACGTTTCAACATATTGCTAATATTGTGTATTTACAACGTTATACTCGTCCCGCTTAGTTGACTTAGTCGCTCTTGGGGCGATTAAGGTATATTATTATATATTTAGTTAGTCAGGCAGTCAGCTATCTTTGTTTGGTTTACCGGAGTTGAGGTCGCGTTTCTGTAATCGCTGAAATAACTGTAAACCACAACGCAGAAGAAGATTGAAATCTTCTATGAAACGACCATTTAATGAAGGTGTAAGACAACTAGCAGGATGAAAAGTGGAAGAGAATATTGAACATTAAAATAACGCTTGATTACTTCGAATTATCTATCTATTCAATGAAGACAATAATACTTGATGCGCGCAGTAAACTAGGAAGAAACCTCATAACCTTAACATCGAAATGAAATCTCATTTCTTCCTTTGCTTTCAGATGCATTTTCATTAACTTTGTCATAATATATACAGGTGCTTTGATCTTTGGTCGATATATTTGGATATGGATTATTAGATTACTTGATAGAGTTTTTGACTAATCTTCATCAGTAATAATATCTAACTAAGCAGATGACGGACTAGTTCGCGAATCGAAATCAATCGTTGCTCGCTTGACACACCGCGTTTACATTCTGTACTTGCCTGAGAATACGTTTTATGTTTTTTGTTTGTTACGTGTTATAAGAATATTGTCAGGATAATTTTGTTGTTATTGGTATAGGATGTTCCACTTATATAAAGTTTCCAAAACTCTCATACTTGTAATAATTGGTGTTTTTGTGAGATATACTTTGTTTAAGATAGAAAAGAGGAGATTGGAATTAGAATATACTGATTGTAAAATATACTTATATTTAGCTATATTACCTGCAACTCAATCCAAGCGGTCAAGACATGGGGTTGCTGATTTCCATCTTCCTGTTTCCAGTTAAGTTGAATTTGTTTGTGTTCTTCAATCATGAATTTATGAATCCCCATTGAAAACACGAATCAGGCAAGGGCATTCTGTTTGTTGTTAATATATACTGTGTGGGTAGTATGAATTAATACTTTCACATTATAGAATATTTCCTTAATTTGATGAAGCAAAATAATATGAATACCGGTATGTATAACTCGTAATTCATAGTGCTATAAGTGTAATTATTAGGTTCTGACACTGATTTATATGTTGACCTGGTATCGACGTGTTCTTTTTCTTCCCAAGCGAAAGTGATCATCTAAAATTTCCCCAGTAAGATGTCTTTAAACCTTGGGTTTTGTCTAAAGCTCGGAATGTTACCTAAATCATATACACATAATCAAGGAACATAAATTTAGTGTGCTCTTCAGATGCAAACGATATTACAGTAGTCTTGCAAACGCACCAAAATTCTCCAACTCTAAACTTGTCAGAATATGGATTTTGGGTTCCTGCTTGGCAAAAATGTTCATTCGCCTGCTTCAAGCCAATATGATAAAATTACCAAGTAGTGCCAGTACTCTTGTTAACACGCTGTATTCCGCAATTTTAAACTTGTCAGTTCAAGTATCCGGTCTCCTGCTTGGGAACGATGTGTGTGCTTGCTACGTCCAGCAAGCCAATGGCAAAATTACCAAGCAATTCCATTGATTTGGTGACATTCTCGGAATATTAGAGGTAATTGATGGAACATGAAGGCACAGCCGTTTCCTGAGTGATTAATTGTCATCATGTATGACCTCTGGTCGCATTGCATTGAATATTTTACGGTTGCTGCTAAGTAGTATTCTACGAGACAAATGACGTCATAGCCGGTTAAGTGCTAATGTTTATTACTGTCTTGCAGGAGCGATACACAGAGCTAATGACTCTTCGCCATCGTTTCTCCATACCGATACCAATGTTGTCGCGAACTTTGTCACGATATACCCGTGATAGTGACTGGGTAAGGGTGTTACTGTAGGCCAATGCTCTTTCACTTTTCTCGTGAAGGGAATTTTGCCAGCAATGCAAAAGGTGTAGATTTGAAGTAACCTTGTAGAAACGACTCATTTCCTGTCCCGTAGTAATATGCCCGTATGAATAGCTTATTGCAGAGAAGGATTGAAATATATGCGGCTCATGATCAAGGGTTGCCACATTCTGTTGTCAGTATTGATTGGACATAACTAAAGAATATGCCACCGCCATTGCCAGCAGGAGATGCGGTCGTCAAATCTAATTCATTAGCGTCTAGGACCTCACGGCTGTCTAGTAATTCAAAACTATCCCCTACTTTATCGAGATTACGAAAGTTTGGACCCACCCGAAACAGCCAAGATACCGCTCAGACAAGTACTAGTCCTCCCAGTTCAAGTCAGTTTTTGTCGCCGTCAAGGGGAAGTTTGCTTACGGAAAGGCTGAAGGAGATTCAAGAAGGTACATCCCGGTATTCTAGTAGGCGTAATTCACCATCTCAATCTCGTCGAGCCAGTTTACGGAAACAATACAGTTTGGACGAAGATCGCGGATCTAGTTTATTGAATAGACGATTATCTAGAATACATGCTTCTTCACCAACTTTTCAAAGATCAGACTCTGGTTCTTTCGACGAAAATGAAAAATCTCCACTCCAATCACCCGGCAAAAGATCATGGAGAGAGAGGTGGAAGCAAAGACGACTTCGTATTAATAAAGATAATAATTCTAGCGACGAAGGATTGCATCTCGATCCCACTGGTTCTCCTATTGCTTCGTATCCAGAATCTCGTCTTCTTTCGGATCTAGAACAATCTAACATTGCTTCTTCAACAAACGAATCCACTTTGAAACCGGAATGGAATAGTGCTACACGTTCTCGGACGCTTGGCAAAAACTCGATACCCAAATGCGCATCAGATTCCGTGATAACATGTCCGCTGAATCGAAGTGCGGCATTTATGAATCACATTCAAAAACCCGGTTGGACAGGATTGATTTGCCAGATACCCGTAAGCGTATATTCGACTCGGTTCGGCTTTGAAATTTACGTGGACTACGATGAAACTGAAATCTTACGCACTGTGAAAGAGCAACTTACGAGGAGGTAATTGGTTGCATGCTGTGCATGGAGTCGAAATAGAATTTTTGCCGTTTTTTCTCAGTGGATAAAGTATGGCTTATCTTATGGCAACCCATTTCTTTTGATTTGTTATTAGCGCCCTTATACTAAAAGTATACATGCAAGAATATTTCATAACTTTCACATAACATAAATTATATCAGCGTCTTTGTGCCTAACTAGTATAAAGATCACTGCAAGTTTGCATATACAAAATCTCTTACTCCCGTAAAGTATTTCTTAGTACTATACTAACAGGAGACTAAAATATAGATATAATTAATTGATTAAGTCGTACGGACATCTTCGATTTATTGTTATATTGATTTGTGACTTTATTAGACGTCTTCAACTTGTACTTGTTACAAAATGTCGTACCCTTTGCAGAAGTGGACAAAAGATTTTGCATATAATATAGTTGTCAGACATGTGCATCTATTTATGTATTACAGTCGTCGCATTAGGTTGAACAATACCGTTCATGAACAGGCTTAGGAAAGTTATATACCATGGCAAAATCGTGTGTAATGTATAGACTGAGATGTAATTCCATTCATGGTTTAGTGCTACCACATTTGTTAATCTTTATTGTGTGAACATTACAGCATTTGAGCATCGCTTCGTACGTATTTAGTGCACAGGGGGGGGGGGGGGGCTGTAAATCATGTTTGATGTAGACTATTTGCTTTCGCAATATGGAATTAACTGTGATAAAACAGGATTAGGTATCTGTCATTACATAGCCTTGATGAGAAATGCACGCCATAAATAACAATACTTTTTAATTTCTTTGAACTAAACTGGAGCATGCCCTGTATAGGATTACTTTGGCTTCTCATGTATTGTATTTCATGCTTGCAACGGCCGAAGGTTTGCTTTTATATTATATAATGTGGAAACTAGAATCAATGGCGTGACATTACTCTTTGAAGTTTTAAGTAGGCTTGCCTTTTCCGATGCGCCAATGTATTTCCCTACTGCAGCACACTTTGTATAGTAGGGCGATGCAAAGGCTTTTTCTATGTAATAGTACAGAAGTCGTATCCTACTATAGTATTGTACAGCACTTTCGTAAACTATACAATACAAAAAACTAAGGTGTTAAAACGTCATTGGGATAAACTAGTAAAATATCTATGTAAGGTGATTTATATCCCCACGGATGACGTGGTTATTATGGAGCTTATATGAATCGCGTCTTATTGGTGATTTTTATGAATGGGCCATGCAGCAAACAAATATTCAAATCTATTTAGACAAGGTTAAACTTTATACGATGTCAAATGCTTTGCACGCAGTGGTGCGCACCGGTATTCAATTACGCGACAGCATGAGAGAGATGCTAAGATGGCTACAGTATAAGCTTAACTGGCAAAGCTTAGGCTGCATAACGCTGTTCTCGCTGGTTGGATTAACTTTCAGTAGGATGATGACTGAACGATTTACTAAGTGAGCTTTGTCTAACGGCATTAAACATACGTTATCGAAGCTTACAGTTCAATTCTCAAGGCTATTGGGCCAACTGGTTTACTATAAAACGGAAGGGAAAATTATAGTTTTGTTTTCAGTATATCAACAGTTTGAAGTGGTGAGAGCCGTTAATATAAAATTATACTTGGGCATGATTCACGCTTTTGCAAAGGGGTTATTTGAATACATGCGTATAGATACTAGATTTACTCCCAAAATGTTATTAAGTTTACTGCATCGTTTTCTTAGCTCATTCGTGAAGAGTGTAGTTTATTCACCGTGTTCCAAGTCTAAATTTAGTCTCAATTAATAGCTCGTCTTGGGTTTTGACAGAGGTAAACAGCGTGTACCTCACGTTATAAGCATTTGTTTAGTGTGGTTGTCGTTCGGCGAGTCCATCAACATGAATAAAGCGAGTTCGCTTATTGTGAATTGTGCGGGTTTTACGCATTGTATTGTCGAGTTCTACGCGTTGCAAATAGAAAAAATGAATTAACGTTTAGCCTGTTAAGCCCTGAGAGAAAAACATAAATTCCTCTCTCGAGATTCCATTGTATTAGGTTTCTAAACGAGTAAACATTGCAGCGTTACTGTACCAGTACAATGTTAGTTGGAAAGTTTGGGCGGTTTAAGCTGATTGATGAATTGTGAAAGTTTATTGACGAATAGAAAGAAAAGTTCATGCGTTTTTTGGGTTAATTCTGATGTTATATTCGTGGCTAAATTATTCATGATTGTATAATATACATTTTGACCTAATTATATTAGTATTTCCATGTAATACCAAAATGATATATGAACATGTTTTATTAGTGCCAAGAAACTAATGGAGGATCCTATTCCTTGCATTAATTAAATGAAACAGGTAGGGTACATATCGTTGATTGAGATTAGCTAGCCGTGCACCATAAAAAATTCAATCTGATATGAATTTTCATTGTGTACTTAAAGTTAACTAGTATTGCTTACAGTATTTGAAAACTTGAAATTGAAATAAAAAAAAAATTATTTGGAAGTATATTGAATATGATGCACAAATCGGCCTCAGCAATACCGCTTGGTTCTTTGGAAGCAAAACGAAAACGCTGGCCTGGTCGTACACGAACGATTCGTACACCGACGACAGCATTCTCATTCAGGTATGATATTATGTTTTAGTCCCATACTTTGTAGGTGCAAGCAACATTTGAGCAAAGGATGACTTCACAGCTGTATTTTTAGGTCATATTACTTCCGCTACGCTTTCAATTCGACTTCGATATATATGTATTTCAATTTTCAATTTTTGCATAGAACTGTTTTTACATTTATGTTATCTTTTATGACAATCATTTATGAATGATTAAACGACTGTGCCGGGTTCTTAAAGAGTTCATCGTAAGATCAACTAGTACATATGATTAATATGGATTTGTTGAGTACAATCTGATTTTACCTGTGAACAATTATACGTTCGACAATAAGAGAATCTATGGTGTAATTTAAAAACTATGATATAGAAGAGGTTTTGTGACCGCATCGCTTTGTTCAATATTGTTATCATAAAATCTTGTCTGTTTGCAATTTTTTCATTTTCATCATACTGTGGATTTCCGTATTTTTAGCCTTATGTGGGCTACACTTGATTCGGCCTCGGCCATAGACTGTTAACAACCACGGTCGTAAGACATTGGCCGATTCTAACATGGTCCTTCTTAAAAACCCAATCGACTTTCGTTTCAACCACTTCCTAAATTTCAGCCGTCCCTACAATTGGGTTACAGAATTGACCCCTGTCACTTAGATAATATCGTGATTGTGGATTCTTAGGTGCTAATTTATGCTTTGGAATTTCCAATTGTTGGTCTTCGTTTTGGCCACTATGGACAGCTTAAATTATTGAGAATTCGGTTTGTTAAATTATTCATTGGGCATCAGGAACGTCCGTATATTTGTGATATCTCTATGCCAGAAATGAAATTTGCCTCGTCATTCATTCGGTTTCTTAATTCGTTTTATGAATTTGAGTATAAATTTGGCAATCAACCTAATAGGGTGATGGGGGGATGTTGATAAACTATAATGTAAACCAGATATTGAATTCTCATAGCTAACGTAGCGTAGCTTTCTTTATAAGGACGTTTTGCGTGATTATTGTGGTATTTTTTTCAGTACTTATTGGCAGTGAATGTGGACTATGTAGCGATAGATTGAGTAGAACATGTTTAGTGGTAACTCTGTGTTCTGCAACAAGTTTTATATAATTATAAGCATAAATGTACCAAAATATCAGGTCGTTGTTGAGGTTTTCGTTTGAATACAACGCTTTGAGTTGCATCATATAACAATTTAGAATTTACCAGGAAGTAAAACTACTTTCACCAATCCTTCCGCCTTCGTCATCATCGTTGAATTGATGATATCATTCGTTTTCTTCATTATTACATTCTAACGCCTACACTTTTAAAAATCAAATTTTTTACTGAGATTTTATCGTGGTTGTAAATTAGAATCACATGAACCAGGATGTACATCTGTCTTAGCTGAGTGCGGTTCATACGCAACTATGCATAGTCAAAAGGAAGAATAATATAATTATTTGGTAATTTACTTATGTGCATACATTAATGGGAACTACAGCTGCCGTATGACCCAACACTGACATGAACGCGACAAGCTTAGAGGAACGACACGAACGATTTGAATTTGGATTCTGTTACTTGATACAGGATTCAAATATATGTACTACTGTTTAGAAATTTAGATTCCCCGGAAGTTTTTTTCAAATTTATTTCATTACAATTGCAAATTTTAGTACTTGAATAACTTCCAGCGCCAAATTGCAGCAAAGGGTTGTTCAAAACTATTCAAGTGGAATCTGTGAATATAAGTTAGATTATGTTAGGATTTTTGTGACGAAAGTTCCGAGCACGTTTTGCGTGTTTGTGGTCGTGTAGCCTGTTATTATGAAAACTCACACAGAATTCCATACTCTATCATTAATAATATTGACAATACATCACCAAGTATTCCTTTCGTTTTTATTATGGGTTTCAATAAAACTGGTTTGACATTTTAGTGTCGTTGATTTCATGATTTCTATGGATTGGATATGGACACTGTGCACGAATAGCAAAACACGTGAATTTCAGTTTCCTTTTCAATTAGTGGCTGAATTTTAAATATTTTTGATCAGGCGTGACGTATAAGAAGTTAAATATGGGGAATGAGATGTTTTGATTACGCAACTGCATTGTATGCAGACAAATTGATAACAATATCGAACTCCGATATCCCACCTAGTGGTTGATACAGATATGGAGTGCTGCAATGCCAATTTCGGGCGCCGATGTTTTTACTGTTAGCGATACTGCATCTTCCCCTTGAGTTCAGTCGTACTCGACAAATGCCATTTTTATGCACAGTAAGATGCTTTATTTGCCATTGTATTAATTGCTCCATATCTGAAATATCCCATACGTCGTGAGAACCCAACAGGCATTACAAAATCAGGATTGAGGTAATTTGATTTCACG